TTTTTTTTTTTTTTTTTTTTTTTTTTTTTTTTTTTTTTTTTTTTTTTTTTTTTTTTACTTTAAAAAGAATCCCCTTTCCTGATATTTGGAAGCAAATATAGAAAGTTGCACAAATAGATAATTAAATACCCTGTATATAGTATAGTCCCATAGCACACTGCATTATTGTCTGCAACTAGTTCCATTGAAGTTCTAAAATGGGTGCTGAAGGGGAAATGTATTTTTAAAAATGTTCTTTTTTATTTACACTCAGACCTGTTTGATCATCAGTAAACTTTGAAATATTGTTTTCCTCCCCAAGTTTTCTTCAGTAAAATTAATTTTGATTAGATTGAACATTGAAATTAACCAGCCATTATTTTTCCCTTTTATTTTAATCATGTATCTTTTAATATATTGCTAAGTAAACAATTTCAACTAATCTTGGACATTTTAAAACATTTTTCTGACAAAATAGACATCTCAACTCTCAGCATATGCTATTTTATAGCAAGATATTAACAGAACATGACATTGCATTAATTTCAGACTTCAATTAAATCAGTATTTTAAAGAGACAATTGTGTTGTTTTTTTCTATTGCCACTTTAAGTATCTTATCTGAAAATCTGTTCCTTGCCATGTTTTTCTTCTGTAACATAAACTGTGCCCTGTGAATTTCTGGGGACTGAATTTGAAATTGCTCCTGCCAACTGTTCGTGGCCTGGTGCTTATCTGAATGCCTGAATATCTCCCCGCTGAATGAATTGCGTATTCTGCCCTGAATTCACTCTGATATATTGATTGGCTGGACGATCTTGGTGCTGCCCACTTGCCGTTCCAGAAGAGCCACCGAAGGAAAAGATCCAGGAGTATAGAGGATGATGAGGAGGGTCACCTGATCTGTCAAAGTGGAGACGTTCTAAGAGCAAGATGTATAGAATATTTTTCAACACTTTTTAAACTTTGCAGACAGAATAATCTTTTTAAGAATAGTTTGTCAGCGGGGGGCTAAAGAACTCTTCATTGCTTTTTTTTTGTTTGTTTTTTTGTGGGTTTGTTTGTTGTTTTTTTGTATTTCTTCTTTTCTGTAGAATTTAAATATTTCTACTCTAAAGTTCCAGAGTAATCAGTGGAATTTGAGATTAGATCAAGAAAGATAGCTCTATCTAATTGTCTTTGTAGCAGCTGAAAATAAAATAATTTGAGTGCTGAAACCTTAGTTATGCTTTGATAGAGAATCATTTGAAAATATTCCACGCTTAAGCATTCATTGTTTGAATAACTACATGATTAGTACTCAGGTACTTAACCCCTTTCTCCCCCCTTACTTTAGATGAAATCGTGGACACTTTGGGTGAAGGGGCCTTTGGCAAAGTTGTAGAATGCATTGATCATGGCATGTAAGTTTGTCTTTTTTTCTTTCTTGAGAATTCTGATACCTCTGGTGAGGAGGGATCCATAATGATGAAGTGATATTTTAAGTGGTAATCACTTGCTTTCTTGAGAAGTTTAAATGTTCAAAATTTTTTTTAACTATGTGCATGATTTACTTACCGTGAGTGTGGATTTTGATCAAGAATGTTTACAAATTCTATCAGATGGAGTTTATTGAAATTAAAGTAGGTGTTCAGGTGAAGAGAGTTTCCCAGAACTTAGGCCCTTAGCCTTGTGTAAGAAATTCAGAGTGCTTTGCTTTATTTTTGAATTGCAGAGATAATAAAGCATGTCTAATCCTGGTTCAGAAACCTTTATTTCCAAAGGATAATATTTTCATGTTAGAGTTAACTTCTTAAACTATAAAGGAATTATATTAAAGCCTACGGAATGTGATTTGACCCTCTCTGCCTCATTTCAACATTTTCCTCCACGACCTCTGTTCCGTGGTTTGCAAACATTTTTCTTAAGTGAACCTCTTAAGACAATTTAGTGACATGGCATGTTTCTAAATTGACCCCTAAAATTTTTCATCATAAAATAGTTGGGGAGCATATAATTTGCAGCTTATAGTAAGCAATGATGTTAAAAAACATACAAATAAACCTGTTTCCTTTTAAGTGTCTTTGAGGGAACCTAAATGCTGTTTACAACTTGATACCTACCACCATCCATGAACAAACTCTTCTTTAGTACCTAGAAATGTTTTATCCTTGAACTTCCTTTCCTTCCACTTGGCACACAGAACATTATTCTAAATATTTTTAATTATCACCCTATCTTTTCTACAGTGAAAATCTGAATATAAATTGAAATTTCGAAACATTTTGAAATATTTTCAGACTTAAAAAAAGTTTAAGTAATTCAGAGAGTTCCCATATATGCTTCACCCACAGTTTCCAAATGTTAACACTTTAGAGTATTTCCTTTATTCTTTATATACTACATGTTATATTTTCAAATTTTGCTAGCTGAGCTACAGACCTTACTCAGATTTTACCAATTGTCCTATTAATATCCTTTTAAAATTTCTTGAGACTCCAAGACTCTTAAGTATCAAATCAACATAATCCAATCAATAGTATTTATTTGATCAAGTGCAAATTACTTAAAAGTTTTGACACTTAGACCTAAAACATAAAATTTAATTGCAAATGTATCTTGTATTGTGATGTTTGGGGCTTTTAAAAAATGAGTGCATATATCTATAGATAAATATGTCTTAGCGTTTTAGCATAGAATAAAATCTCACTTTCTGTTTTTATAGCTATGGACACTGAGAAAATTTGGTCATGCAATTAAATAGATGTGATTAGAAGGAGTTTTGTCACATCTATTTTATAAGTTCTTTTAAGGCAAGGTATACGCCAAATGGGGATATTATCAAAATAATTTTTAACAATTTATCAGCCCACAACTTCATTGGGGCTTTGTTAAAAGCAGTGAATTGAAAACCACCAGACTTGGAAAAAGGTTGACACCAAGCCACTAAAAAGTTTGCCTCAAAGGTTTTTTTAATAGTCTAGGGCACATATCTTGATCTAATTAGGAGCACATGGGGTTTTCCTTTCTCTTGTAAACAGGTAGAGCCATAGTGAAAAAAAAAAGACTTGAATTCTAGCTCATCTTCTCGATGATCAGATTTAGAAAAGAGAATAAAAGAAAGTTGAAGATTTGGAAATCCATTTCCTCACATTACTACTCTATACTTCTTAAGAAATATTACAGGTGCTGCAGTATGAAGCTCACTGCTCTATAGCTATTTCTGCCTGTTTGCACCAGTGAATGTACTAAACATATTCTTGACTTCATGATTTATTGATGGTGTCTCGTTTGCCCAAATGTTCTCTTTTCCTCCCAATTCTGACAAACTGATTACTACCTGTCTTTCAGGGCTCGGGTGTGTGCCACCTCTTCTGAGGAAGTCTGAGCTCCCCTAACCCTCAGTGGTCTGGCTCTCCCTCTGGTACTCCATAGTACCTCATACCAAGCACTTCTAACCTTATGATATAAGTGTCTTTTTCCTTCAGACTACTATATACATAGGGACAAGCCCTGTCTTTTCATCACTAATACCTGTACACTATCTGGCACAGAGTGGGTCTAGCCTGGTGAATGAGCAAATGCTTCCAGCAGTAGCATATTCTATATGAGGTTTATATTTTTATTAACTTCTGTATAAAATCTAGGTAAGTTTAAAATTCTGGAAATAAACATTAAAATTCGTAACTATTAAGGGAATCATTATTCCAATAAAGTGTATTTTGACAAAATGTTTTGAAAAGATGTTGTATGGAATCTGGTATAATATTTTAGAAAAGTAGCATAGATTAGTTGATGCTTAATAAGATTTGGCTTTAGAGGTTACACGTTTCATCCTGCTTCTGTACATTTACCATTTTCATCTTAATTTTGTTTTTAAGGGATGGCATACATGTAGCAGTGAAAATTGTAAAAAATGTAGGTCGGTACCGTGAAGCAGCTCGTTCAGAAATCCAAGTATTAGAGCATTTAAATACTACTGACCCCAATAGTGTCTTGTAAGTATAAGCTTGAGCAATGATCCATCATGTTATATGAAATAATCAGAATTCTGTGAACTGAGTAATTTTTATTTTGATCTATTTTAGCCGATGTGTCCAGATGCTAGAATGGTTTGATCACCATGGTCATGTTTGTATTGTATTTGAATTGCTGGGACTTAGTACCTATGATTTCATTAAAGAAAATAGCTTTCTGCCATTTCAAATTGACCACATCAGGCAGATGGCATATCAGATCTGCCAGTCAATAAATTGTAAGTATACTTGGTAAATCTTTAAACATCAGAATTATAAAGTTTTTGTTACACAAGCAGTGTATCAAAGCATGGTCACTAAAAATGCATATTATAAAGATGAAACCCCTCTTGGCCCCTATATCCACTACTAATTCTTCCTTCCCCCAGTACAGATTAAATTTGCAAGTGAAACTAATAATGTGATTTTCTTCTCTTGTAGTTTTACATCATAATAAGTTAACCCATACAGATCTGAAGCCTGAAAATATTTTATTTGTGAAGTCTGACTATGTAGTAAAATATAATTCTAAAATGGTAAGTTAAAACACTTTTTAATTTTGGTGGTTCTTCAAAATTAATTTAGCTTGTTGATCATTGGATGAGGAATTTTACTTCTGAGGCTTATTCTATCCTGATATTAAATCCAAAAAGAATCATCTTTCTTTGCCTTTCGCATGGGGTTATGTTGAAAATCCAGAAAGATAATTCACCTGCAAGTCTTTTGGATGGTGCTATAAAAGATTTCATATCTTTATTGATCTTCATGTTTACGCAACTGTTTTTCTCTAGAAACGTGATGAACGCACACTGAAAAACACAGATATAAAAGTTGTTGACTTTGGAAGTGCAACATATGATGATGAACATCACAGTACTTTGGTATCTACACGGCATTACAGAGCTCCAGAGGTCATTTTGGGTCAGTAGACATCAGACTTCCTGATACTGTAATTGAAGAAGAGCTTTTTGTTCTCTACAGCTTTGGGGGTGGAGGTGATTTTCTTAGTGTACAGAAAATGCTTTGCTATTTTCATAAAAAGAGTCTAAATTACTATAAGTATTTTTTCTGAGTGGGAAAAATGATATCATCTGTAAAGACACTTCAGGTGGTTGTTATTTTTGAACAAGTTAATCCTACGAGATCATAAGAACAGGCTCTATTGGCTAAGTACATTACAGTGATGTGATTTTGAAGTAATACAGGAATCTATTTTTGTGCCATTAGCAGAGCATGGTGCTGGTAAAAACGCTAATGATTTGGTTAGCAGATGTCTAAATATAGGATGGGTAGAGGTCAAGAGGAAAAGAAAGAAGGGCTAGTCTAAAAGAGAACTTTGAAAACCATTGACATGATAAAATCAAGAAAAGAAAATGAGTTATGGTACAGTTTTAAAATAACAGGGAGCATGCATCAAAATTTAAAAGTTAGAGTCCAGGTTAGGTTAATAGAGCTGGGAAGTTAGGGATGGGTTTAGGGGCTTGGAGACAGTGAGTAAAGTTCAGATTATTTGCTGTGGGGAAATAGTTAAATGGAATAAGCTTATTACTTGGCCAGAAGTAAGGTCCAACTGAGGTTGGATAATAAAACATTTTCATGGAATCAGTTTCCAGTTTTTACCTTTTTTTGGTTCAACAGGACTTGGTAGTTCAGATTAGAGGAGTGTGAAAGCAAAGTAATGATTTTTATCTACATAGAAGGTTGGTAAAGGGGTAAGGAAATCGAGAATATTATGCAGTGCTGGCCAGTAGAACTTCCACAGTGATGGTAATATTTTATGGTATCCATTGGCACACTAATGTGACTGAAGGACAGAATTTTTTTTTTTAATCCGCACTCGATATTTTTTCCATTGCTTTTCAGTGGGCGGGGGGGGGGCGAGAAACATCAATGCCTGAGAGACATCGATTGGTTGCCTCCAGTATGTGCCCCACCAGGGCCAGGGATGGAGCCTGCAACCAAGGTACGTACCCTTGGCCAGAATCGAACCCGGGACCCTTCAGTCTGAGGGCCAATGCCCTAACCACTGAGCCATACTGGCTAGGGCTGAGGAACTGAATTTAAATTTTATATTAATTTAAATTTTTAGATTTAAATAGCCACATGTGTCTAGTAGCTACCATATTGGACAGCACAGGTTTAGAGCTGATTATTTTTTCTTTTTTTCTTCCACTTTCATTAGTATTTATTTTATGTTGAATTTACTCCAGGCCAGAAGTTTGTTTCTTTTAGTTTATTCTGGGATATCTTTTTTTTCTTTTTTTTAATCCTCACCCGAAGATATTTTAGAGAGAGTGGAAGGGAGTGGGAAAGACAGAAACAGCGATGTGAGAGAGAAACATCGATTGGTTGCCGCTCAAGGGTGGGGACTAAGTCAGCAGCCATCGAACCCGAGACCCTTCAGTCCCCAGTCTCGTGCTCTAACCACTGAACCAAACTGGCCAGGGCAGGATATCATTTTCTTCTGTGCAACCTCTTCAGGTTTAGGAACAATCTGCTCTTTTCCAGAAAGGATCATCTCAGTGTGGCAGGGAGAGCTCATATATGGGTTAATTAGTCAGTGAGCTCTGTAAGTTCTACATTGCATCTTGGGAGCTCTGTTCACCTGGATGTAATCAATCACCAGAGAATCTACATCTAAACCCTTAAGTTCAGCATTGCATTGTGCATTTTTAAGCATGTGCAGCAAAAATTCACTTTTTTGTGCCACAACCCAGTGTCCAGCCCCATTATTTCTCCTGGGCACACTTACCAACTCCACCATTGTAATGATGGAATGGCACACATTGCTTCTGTAAAGTGATATCCTTCAGATATTTGGTGGCTTTTTGAATACCCGTACTCTTGGCCTGGGCAGTTTCATGAGTGTTCTTAAAGTGAACACGAAGATTTGAACCTCTTGATTTGCATGATTTTTGTGGGGTTTTCTGGTCAAGTGAATAGCAAACCATTCTCAGAGGTCATCTCTGGCCACTTTTGGGAAGAGTCGAGCTTATCTTTGAAATGGTTAATAGGATTTTTGTTTAGTATGATGTGAAAGAAGGTGCTGTTACAATAACTTACAAAGAATATTCATGGTTGAGGACTGAAGACTACTATGAGGGTAAAAGAAAGGAGTATAGGAAGAGATGGTGGATGAGGAGGAGTTTTTCAGAGCTCAAAAGGAGATAACTTCCTGGATTATATCAACTTAAAATTCAGAGTTTTCCCCACACTTTAATGTGGGGAGTTAAAACTCAAAACTCAAAAAATTGACTTTTTTCTCTTTGTTATCTGTACATAAAACAGTGGTGTGTCTTACAGTTAATGGCCTCCTAAATTGGGTAAAATGTAGTAGCTTTCAATCATCATGACCAAGTGTGGCCAGGCTAGGGATCGCTGGTATAAATTTGAAATTGTGTTATTGACCTTGACAAAAAGATTAGATTAGGGGATTAGAAGGGTCCTTTGTGTGTTTGCGGAGCATTAGTCCTGAGGATTAAGGCAGAATTGGGCAGGAAAGGAAGATGTAGTCAGATGCTACAATTGAGGTCAGTTGGTCTCTTGTCTTGGTAATAAAGTTGAGAAGTTGGTAAAAGAATGATGTGGAATTCCAAAGAGTATGAGAACTGACTCATCAGAATGGAGTGATTTAGAACAGGCTGCAGGTTACAGTCACCTGGGAAAAGCTAGACTGGAAGGTGGGAGTGGCCGGAAAAGAAAATTTTCATCCTAAGTCCAAGCTCTGTTATTTGCAGATGTTGTATGGGTATATAAGTAGAAATCATGACCCATTATCCATTTGTTCAAATGATAAGCACTGTGAGAGTTAACAAAAATGACTAAGTCATAGTCAAGACCCTTGAATGTATTATTTTTTTCTTTACCTTTAAATTCAGTGATGTTACTGAAAATACTTGAAATGTCTTTTAAAGTAGGTTTTATTTATACATTTATTGTTTACTAAATACTTGATTTTTTTTTTTTTTAATATATCTTTATTGACTTCAGAGAAAGGAAAGGAGAGGGAGAGAGAGATAGAAACATCAATGATGAGAGAGTCATTGATTGGCCACCTCCTGCACGCCCCTGACCAGGGATTGAGCCCACAGCCCAGGCATGTGCCCCAACCGGGAATCGAACCCCGATCGCCTGGATCCTAGGTCGACACTCAACCGCTGAGCCACGCCCGGCTGGGCAATACTTGATCTTTAAAAGATTAAAATATCTGTATGGTTTATTCTTTTCATCTCCTTTCCAGTTAAATATAGACTTAAGAGGGCTAGGTGTTTTATTCTTTCCGGAATAGTGTTGCCATTGAGAATTCTGAAGGAGAAAGTATATGTGATCATGTGTAGACTGGCTGAAAGTACATATAGAGATCCCTCTCTGTGTGTACTTTAAATGGCTCTATAATTCTGCTTATAGGTGAAACTGCATATAATATTAATTATGATTCTTATATGATTTATGTAAAACCATATTCTTTTAATGGAAGAAATAAACTCAAGCTTATGATAATTGATAAGGGCTTAATAGTTACATTCTGAGGATAATTATTGACATATATGTATTTGCACTTAATAAAATGTAAAACTTCCTGGAATAACCATGAACTGGTATAACAGTACTCCCATTGCACAAGCAATTCAAAGGCTATGGAGTATTTCCATGAATTGGTAGTTATACTTGGGAAATATTTTCTAGTCCCTCTCATTTTACATAAAATGCCCCCCCTCCCCTTAAATGCTATAATTTGAATAAGGATATGGAGGACTGTGAGAACATACTGAATAATGTTTGATAAAAAAACTAAAAATGTAGCCCTGGCTGGTGTAGCTCAGTTGATTGGAATGTCATCCTATGCACCAAAGGGTCACAGGTTCAATTCCTGGCAAGGGCACATACCCATGTGTGTTCAATCCCTAGGCGGGGTGCGTACGGGAGGCAACTGATCAATATCTCTCTCACATCGATGTTTCTCTCTCCCTTCCTCTTTCTAAAATCAATAAAAATGTCTTTGGGTGAGGATTAAAAAAATAAAACTAAAAATATAAACCCTGAATTTACTGTCATGTTCTCCCAAATGAGTTATGTAAAGAGATTACTCATATACAGAAGGATTTAGTAAATTGGCAATTAAAATTTATTGCATAATAAAATGTTTGTTTTTGTTTTTAAATAGCTTTAGGTTGGTCTCAGCCTTGTGATGTTTGGAGCATAGGTTGCATTCTTATTGAATATTACCTTGGTTTCACGGTCTTTCAGGTATGTATTTTATAAATATTGTTTAGTTAATTTTTAAAGGCATATAAAATTTGGCTTCCATATTGAAAAGTTGCCATAGTGTCATTCTTAAGATTAAAACTTACATATGCAAAATGGTTGTCCTTCTCTAAAAACCATAGTTGAATGAAATGTTCCTCCTTGTGAATGGTCAGTGTTCATTTTACGTGTGATTGGAGTTTTTGATACATGTCCATACTGTCTTAATGGTTCCATTTTTTGTTACAGAACATCTTCATAAATTTATATTAGTGTTACTGTGGCCATTTTTAATTCAGTTCTGGTTATATTGACTATCCATATGGCCATGAACAAGTCACTTTTTTATATAAAAGAATTTAGGAACAAGAAATTGTGTTTTATTCTAAGTATTAAGCACCTGTGACGCTCTAGGCTTTATGAACATGAAAAGACAACCTCTATTCAAGGAAATCATGCAAAAGATAGATATGGGGAAACTTAGAGTATAATGTGGTATTTGCTATAATGGGTCAATGTAGAAAGTATAGTGGGACCCAGGAAAGGTGAAGTTAAATTTTTTTAGAGACGGTAAACAGTGGCGGTAGGCAAGGACTGATTGATTCATAATGGACTTGCTCTCCATAGAAAGCTATTAGTTTTATCTTAGAAGTTAGTAGTTTTCAAATGTAGACTGGTCCAAAATGAAAATGATTTCGTAGGGTTCCCATTCTGGCCTTTGGAGATTATCCCTCCTGAGCTTTTTTGGTAGTAGTGTGTCCCTTTTATGAAAACCTTACTTAGGTCTGCACTTTTCCCTTCATAATTTCACTTACATCTGTAATCTAAAGGTTTTGAAAATTTTAGGTGGTGCAGCCATTGAAGAACTTTAAGGAGGGTTGTGATTTCCAGCCCCACTTTAGACTTAGGGAAATCACTGCTTCTGTTTTCTATTTCATAGAGATCCTGTTAAAAGTACTCTTGAGTTTATTGACGAGTTTGATATGTAGAATCATGGTTATCAGTCAGTTCAAGGAGGTAGTGTCGGGTTTTATGGTAATAAACTGTAGGGTCAAGAAAAAGTTAAGTAGAATACATGCTTTCTTGTAATGAGTTTGTGGTTATAAGTCACTGAGCTCTTAAGTGAAGTGCAAGTATTAACATTGGTTTGAGATAAGGTTTATATTTGGATTTTACCCTCCAAAATACTCTTCAACTAAGGAACTTTTTTAAAATTCAGAGTTAGTATATTCCTGTCTTGAATTAAGTACTTAATGTTTTGAAAGCAGTGTGTGAGGCACAACAGTTGATAGATTAAAAAAAGCATTACCCACAGCCTTATGTATTTTTGAGATACAGGTTTTTTGTTTAAAGTATCCCCATTTCGTAAGTGTGTTACACAGATATTTGAGCTTCATCTGTTTGTATATTTTGCAAACTAGATCCTGCCTGATGCCTGCTTTAAAAAACGAAAATATGTAAAGGAGACCAATTGTGACCAGCCACACTTAAAATATTTACTATCTGGCCCATTATAGGAAAAGTTTGCCAATTTCTGCTCTAGAAACGTCCCATTTTAAATGCTGAATGACATTTTTTTCTGTTCTACTTCAGCAAGAGCTCTGTTACTGTATAGTTTAAGAATATGAGGTATTTTTGTTTTTTAATTTTTTTTTTAAATTTCGGAGGCGGGGAGAGAGAAACATCAATGATGAGAGAGAATCATTGATCGGGTGCCTTCTGCACGCCCCCTACCGTGGATCGAGCCCGCAACCTGGGCATATGCTCTGACTGGGAATTAAACCTTGATCACCTGGATCACAGGCCGATGCTCAACCTCTGAGCCACACAAGCTGGGCAAGAATATGAGTTTTGACTTGGGTTCATAGCTCAACTTTTCCTCGTTTATGAGCTCTGTGATTTTGAGCTTGTGTCTTCAGCTCTTTGAAATTCATGTTCCCATATCCCTAGCTCAGGATTGTTGTGAGAATTATTGGGACTGTATTTTTATTGCCTAGGATTAGTAAGTGTTAATGTATTGCTAGTCATTGAGTAATGGAGGTTAATTTTGGTTGACTGGTTAAATGAGGACACAGTATTTTTGGGAATCTTCCCTTCATTCCTCAGTTAAGCAATGCAAGAAATACAAATAAGAAAACCATTCAGTTTTACATTAAACACATTAAGCGTCTCCGTAATACAGAGCCTTGCTCGCTCATTTCAGAAAGACAATTTTTTGGGTTTGCACCAGATAATACAACTCATTCTGTATTGTTCCATATTTGAAGTTGAGTGTAATATAAATTTTGTAAACTGTCTAATCTTTTTATGTCAGTACTACTTTCTTATTATTTTCTTTCTTGTGTATATAGAGAAATGAAAACTAATTTTTTCCCCCCTATGTTTTTCAGACTCATGATAGTAAAGAGCACCTGGCAATGATGGAACGAATATTAGGACCCATACCAACACACATGATTCAGAAAACAAGGTATGCTTTAAGATTAAAGCCCTTTGTTGAATACATACAGTAGCCTATATTCAAACTACAGAAAACTCAACTTTGTTGTTATTGCTTGTTCCAAGGATTGCATATTTTGAATTTTTCATAAAGTCAAGTTTTTAAAAAGTCATTACTTTTTAAAAACTTGACTTTATGAAAAATTTACCTGTGATCTAATAAACAAAGTGGTGGTTTTTACAGCGAAGTTAACCTTTGCATAACTGTTTTCCTAAGTTTATTATAAAAATAATTTATAAAATAGTAAACAGAGCTTGATTTTGGAGTCATAGCAATCTAAGTTAGAATTCTATACTGGTGGTAAACCAGCTGTATGTCCTTGTAGTGGTTTTCAAACACAGCTGCACCTCAGAAGTCATCCAGGGAATTGTTTAAAGATTTCCAGCCCAGCCCGACTTCAGATCTAGGGAAATCAAGAGTTTACAGGAATGGATCCAGGGGCTTCTGTTTTTAAAACTGGCTTTGTTCTCTGTATACAAAATTAAGGAAAATACTCTATAAGCTGTCTGATACATAATTATTGCTAAGATTTAAAAAAATGTATACACAGAGATGCTTATACTTTCAACTGTCCTCGTGAAGATGGGGTGAACATGGATCTTTTGTTATTTTTAGTAATCCAGGCTTCTTTTTCCTATAGAAAACGCAAGTATTTTCATCATAACCAGCTAGATTGGGATGAACATAGTTCTGCTGGTAGATATGTTAGGAGACGCTGCAAACCATTAAAGGTAAAAGAAAGAAGATTAAAAAGTTTAAAAAACTGTTTCAACTATTTTTAAATACCTTTCTAAAATAAAAACATTTTCTCTTCCAGGAATTTATGCTTTGTCATGATGAAGAACACGAGAAACTGTTTGACCTGGTTCGAAGAATGTTAGAATATGATCCAGTGAAAAGAATTACCTTAGATGAAGCATTGCAGCATCCTTTTTTTGACTTATTAAAAAAGAAATGAAATGGAAATCTGTGGTCTTACTGTATGCTTCTCTAGAAATTACTTAAGACTGTCAGTCAACTCTAAACATTCTAATATTTTTGTAAACATTAAATTATTTTGTACAGTTAAGTGTAAATACTGTATGTTTTGTATCAATAGCATAATTATCTTGTTAAGAAAGTATGGTCTTGATAATGAATGAAATATAAAAGTTAATTTTCCTTTTTGAGATCAACATTTTTAAAGACCTTTGGAATATCTTTTGTGTCCAGTGATAAATGTGATTGATCTTGTCTTTTGTACATGGAGGTTGACTCTTAAGTGATTTTTTTTTTTTTTTTTTTTTGAGTAAAAGGAAATCTTGACTACTTTATTCTTAATGAATATTCTTTATTTACCTCAAATTCGGAACTTATCTTTAAAACTTTTTCCTGTAATTGTTGAACAAGTAATAAAGTACTAATTATTCTATGTAGGCAGGTATTAGGAATCAGAACCCATAGGAAGTGTTTATTCTTGGCATTTTATTGAATTGTAAGTTATGTGTTCTGTCTCCTCGGGAGATGTCAGTAGTACTAAGCATTCATAGAAAGGTATATCTGGTTTGTCCATCATGACAAGTTTTTAATAAAACCACATAAACACTTCCTTTATGATTAAAGTCTAACTAGCAAGTCAGCTTGAAAAGTCCTGTTTTCCAGTAGCTATTTAGTGAGCTACAAACATAGAAACAGGAATTCTGATGACTGAGGTTCTAGTTTTTAATACCAGATCTTGAGGAGTCTTGAAAATGTCTCACTGTTTCCTTATCAAATGAAGTAAATACTTAAACCTCAACCTATGAGAATTAAGGTTATTAGGCAATTTCTGCTTGTGTTAATCTTTACTGGAGAAGAGGAATGATTTGATTGGAAAACATTTGGGAAAGAAACCTGCAGAAATTTCCAGACCCTGATTAGTTGTTTAATATGGTGAACTTCTTATTTGACTTTAGGTATTTTTTCTTACTGTTACATTTTCACATTAAAACTACATGGTAAATGTAACTTATTTTAGTAAAACAAAAACAAATGATACTATTCAGGCTGCCAGGTAGAAATATTTTTCGTTGTAGAATTTGTCATTGATTTTTGAGATACAGGTTGTTTTTTGTTAAAAGTATCCCCATTTCATAAGTGTGTTACACAGATATTTGGGTTTCATCTGTTTGTAAATTTTAAACATAAAATGCATGGAATTTTCTTGTATGACAAATACTGAAACCAGGCTGGGTTCCCTACGTTCTTCACAGGTGGCATTTGCCAATATAGTGAGGTGGTGTTCCTGAAGCTGAGTAGGAGTTTAAGAAAGCTGAAATAAATTTTATCACAGAATCACTGCCTAAGTTATGTTTAGGCCTCTGGTGCAGTCTACATATAATGAATGTATATTCTGAATAGTTGCACTCTATTATGTGATAAGGTTTTTAAAGGAACATTAGATGTAAGGAAAGGGTGTTTCCTGAATGTAGCAGTGTTGATGCAGGGATTAATAGATGTCTACTAGCCTTTATTTTCCCCTTCATTGTCATTCTTCCGGTGCCCCTGTACTATCTAAGCTTCCTGTCCTTTCCCAACAAGTGCTTCAAGTTCCAAAATTAATGTTCACTTTTCTCTATCAGAAACTCATTTTCTCATAGTAGCTGATCTCTGGATATAAGAAGAAAGAAAAATATATATTTTTATTTTTTCAATCCTCGCCTGAGGATGTGTGTATTGGTTTGAGAGAGCACACAAGAGAAACATCACTGTGAGATTGAAACATCAATCGGTTGCCTTCTGTGCACATCCTGACCAGGAATCTAACCTGCAACCTAGGTATCCGCCCTGACTGGGAACAGAGCCCAGGACCTTTTTGGTGTACAGGATGCCTCAACCAACTGCCCCACGCAGCCTGGGCTCCACATTATTTCTTAAGAAGTTTATCATTGCTAACCCTTCTTCCCTTCTGAAAAGTATCTTCACAAAGGGGATTTGCTAATTCTTGTACCTTAATTCATGGAATTTTAGGAATTAAAGCAAAAAATAAATTAGGTAGGATGGAAGAAATGTTTAGTGGTTAGGGTGGTACTGCCAGCGCTCGTACCCCCTTTGAGCTCCCAGATTCCTACTCTTACTGGCCTTACTCCTTGTACTTCTGTACTCATTTTCTGCAAGTACCAGGCTTTTACTTGACAGTTCTGGGAGCTTCAGCACTAATGGGAAAGGTTTAGAATGGCCAGTGTATGAATGTGGATTATTTGTGATTAAATATTTTTCTTAATTGATTCCTCATAATTTTTTACTATTTTTTAGAAATTTCATTGAAGTCAAGCTTTTTTTAGTCGAGGTGTAGTTGACCTACAACATTAGTTTCAGGTGTACATAATGATTCCATATTTGTATATGTTGCAAAATGACCATGACAATCTAGTTAATATCCTTCACCATATGTAGTTACAGATTTTCTTGTGATAAGAACTTTTAAGATCTCAGCCACTTTCAAATATGCAGTACAGTATTAACTATAGTTGCCATGCTGTACATTACATCTCCATGACAACCGGAAGTTTGTACCTTTTGACTCCCTTTGCCCATTTCACCCGGCCCCCACACCCAGCCTCTGTCTACCACCATTCTCTCCTCTCTACCTATGTGCTTAGGTTTGGTTTTGTTTAGATTCTACATATAAGTGAGATCATACAATATTTGTCTCTGACTTATTTCACTTAGCATAATGCCCTTGAGGTCCATCTGTGTTGCAAATGGTGCAATTTCATTCTTTTTTATGGACGAATAATATTTCTGTGGGGGGGGTGTCACATTTTCTTTATCCAGTCATCCTTTGTTTTCTGTTTTAAATTGATTTCAGAGAGGGGAAAGGAGAGGGAGAGGGAGAGATAGAAACAGCAATGATGAGAGAATCATTGATAGGCTGCAGCCCACAGCCCGGGCATGTGCCCCGACCGGGAATCGAACCTTGATCGCCTGGATCCTAGGTTGACGCTCAAGCGCTGAGCCACGCCCGGCTGGACTATCCAGTCATCCTTTGGAGAACACTTAGGTTGCTTCCATGTCTTGAATATTGTAAATAATGCTGCAGTGAACATGGGATGGAGGTGCATACATCTTTTCAAATTAGTATTTTTGTTTTCTTCAGATAAATACCCAGAAGAGAAATTGCTAGGTCATAAGGCAGTTCTATTTTTAAATTTTAAGGAAACTCCAGTATGTTTTCCCTAGTGGCTGACCAATTTACAGTCCCACCCACAGTGCACAAAGGTTCTCTTCTCCACATTCTCACCAACACTTGTTATTTGTCTTTTTAAATTTTTACTTATTTTTTATTTGTTGTCTTTTAGATGATAGCCATTCTAGCAGGTGTGAGGTGATATCCCATTGTAGTTTTGATTTCCATTTCCCTGATGATCACTGATGTTGAGTGATGTGTCTCTTAACCATCTGTATCTCTTTGGAAAAATGTCTATTCAGATCTTCCCATTTTTTTGATCAGATTTTTTTTTGCTATTGAGTTGTATGAGTTCTTCATATATTTTGGGTATTAGTCCCTTATCAAATATGTCTTGCTAATATTTTCTCCCATTTAGATGGCTACCTTCTCATTTTGTTGATTTTCTTTGCTGTGCAGCAGCTTTTAAGTTTGATATAGTCCCACTTACTCAGTTTTGCTTTTGCTGCTTTTGATTTTTGGTGTCAGATCCAAAAAGTCATTGCCAAGACTGATGTCAAGGAGCTTACTGCCAATGTTTTCTCTTGGGAGTTTTATGGTTTCAATTTTTATATTCAAGTCTTTAATTCATTTTGAAAACTTGGATTTTATGAGGCATTTTTTTTAAATGTCTCTAAATAGGTTATTTTCAGTGTTTTCTGCTACTGCTTATTTTCTCAGATACTCTCATTCTTTCATGCATTTATCAAAATTTTCAGAGTATATGAATAAAATTGACTCCTGGTATTACTCAGTTGCCATTATTATACCTTACAAATGATTTCCTTATCTGATATTGAATCTATATTTAAAGTTTCATGATTGTATTAAAAAAGAATGTCATTTTATAGTTGGTTGGTTTGAATCAGAACCGAGTCAGGATCCACACATTGCTAATGTCTCAGGTCTCACTATCACTAAAGGTATCCCCCCCCCCCC